AGAGATGCATCTTAGCTCTGGAAATTGTTATTGAATATGTCAATGCTGTTGTAATGAAATGCTTCTTCTAAGTATGTGGTTATTAAATAAATAATTTTAAAAAATTAACGTTAATAAAGATCTATGCCATAAGAGAAAACAAAGAAAGCAGCTTGATGTCAGGTGTGATGGTGCATATCTTTAATCCCAGCATTTGGGAGGCAAAGGCAGGTGGATCTCTGAGTTTGAAGCTAGCCTGGTCTACAGAGTGAGTTCCAGGCCAGCTGGGGCTACAGAGAGACCCTATCTCAAAAAACAAAACAAAATAAAATAAAAACCATGAAAGCAGCGGGTGTTCTAACATTGATGTTGTTCTTCAACTCAGCATATGCCCATCTGAATATGCATTTATTTTTATTTTTTATTTTTATTTTATGTGTACGATTGTTATGCCTGCATGTGTGTAAGTAAACCCATGTTGTGTGGTGTCTTTGGAGGACAGAGGGTGTTGGGTCCCCTGAAACTGGAGTTATGGACAGTTGTTAACCACGTGAGTGCTGGAATTTGAATCTAGGTCTTTTGCAAGGTCAGTGCTCTTTACTGCTGAGCCATCTCTCCAGCCCCTGAATATGCTTTTTTTTTTTTTTTCGGTCTTTTTGAGACAGGGTCTCCCTGTAGCCCCAGCTGTCCTGGAACTCACTATGTAGACCAGGCTGGCCTTGAGCTCACAGAGATCCACCTGCCTCTGCCTCCCGAGTGCTGGGATTGAATATGCATTTTTACACACACATCAAGGGACATACACAAAACATTGATGCATGCTGTCCTTCAACTCAGTATATGCTCATCTGAAATGCATTTTTGCACACACATCAAAAGACATATACAAAAATGTTCCCAACAGCATGTTTTATAATAAGGCAAAAAAACCCAAAAAACCCCACAAGCCAAACATAAATAAATGTGATATCTGCCTCTCAGTCTGCTGAGCGGTTCGTTCTTGGAGCCCTGCAAGATGCCGCAACCCGAGGACACCCAAACTGCAGCTATGGAATACAGTAGTATTTGCATGTAACCTGTGAGTATCCTCTTGTGGTGTTTGTTTTGTTTTGTTTTGTTTTGTTTTGTTTTATGTAGCCCTGCTGCTGCACAGAACATCATCCCCCTGACACCCCAGACCCAGGCAGCAACTAAACCATCACAATATTCCTCTTAAATTACAGTTAGCAAGTAAGAATATTTCCTTGGGCTTGCCAACAAAGTTTAGAGGCTCACTCACAAACACGCGAACTCTCATAGGCTTTTTCCTTTCTCATATTTGAGACGTGGGCCATCCCGCCTCTGGTCTCCACGCTCGGTTCCAAAATGGCGACTACCCCATTCGCCACTGTGCTGGAAAGCCCACACCCAAACAAATCCTGTGGCTATCTGACAGCCACACAAAATGATGAGAGACCTGCCTAGTGCCTTTCCAGGCTTATATATTCTTAGCCCCGCCCCTTCTGCAGAGCATGGGAAAGAGGTGGGACTTCAACTTGACATAGTGGTAGGAGAAACTTCTGGGTTACACCTGCTTAGCCTGGAATTGCTATATTACCAGGCTGACCTTGAACTCAAGGAGATTCACCTGCCTCTGTCAGCCTGGGCAATGGGATTAATGGTGTACACCACCACAATGGGCTTTCTTGAGCATTGTAACTATTCTCTAGGTTACTTATAAATGCTGTTCAATATTGCTTAGGGGATAATGACAAGAAAAATTGTGTACATGTCCATGATTTTTTTCAGAATATTACTGATCTAAAGGTGGTAAAATCCACAGATGTGGAAACTGTGACAGGGGCCAGTTACATTCATCTACAGCTGTTGGGTAGACAATATGCTGATCATACAGCCGGAATGCTATATGCTAGCATATAGCAATGACTGTAACCAAGCTAGGCTTCTGAGCTAGGAAAACAATACATACTATATAATTCTAGTTATACAGTGTTTTTAAAACACAGCCCATGGGTTTTTAAAAAATTACCCATAGTGTTTGGTGATATATATATGTAATAATGTAAATATGCATATACACATAGACACACATAAATAGATACAGATATAGATATATAGATACAGTATAAGAAGAAAAGCAGTCAGGAAACCAGCTCACTGCCTCTATCAGAAGCATCTACCCCAAACCTACTGAAAGAGAATCACGAGAGGCTGGACTCAGAAACTACTCTTGAAGAACTAACACCCTCAGATGATTCAGATGATTTAGATGATTGCTACCCTGGGACAGGAGAAAGATGAGGGTGGGCCTTCAGGCCCTGTCTGCAGGGTGAGTGGGGCCAGCTGTGGTCTGAGTACATGGCAGTAGGAGCAGATTAGCGCTTTTAGGGCTGACATCAATTCTCTCCCTCATCCTTGCTACAATTCCAGGTCCTGGGGTTTGAAGACCCTCCCTCCTTCACCGGAGACCACAAAGTGAATTACCACTCTAGGAATCAGCACTGTTGTCCATCTCAGGAAGAATGTCTCGTCCTTCCTCATAAGCCCCAGCTTGCTGGGAAGGGATAGAAAACTGAGGACAGGATTTGGGGAAACTGAGGCACAGATGTGTTTCAAAGGACAGACACATCTGTGAGGCCCCATGATACCCCATCGTCATTTGGTTTTACTTAGAAGCCAGTATAGTTACTGTAATCGTTCCTAGTCCATGCACAGCACTTATCTTATTTTGAAAGCAACTCCCTAGAGAAACACTCATAAATCCTGTTGAAATAATTATGAACTTAATGTTTGAGCTTTTCATGCAGAGAAGATGAAAATGTTACCCCCCCCCTTTTTTTTTGGCTTTTTGAGACAGGGTCTCCCTGTAGCCCCAGCTGTCCTGGAACTCACTATGTAGACCAGGCTGGCCTTGAACTCACAGAGAAATGTTATCCTTTTATGACAAATCAGAGGGCAAACAATGCCTAAAGATGGTGCCAACTTTCAACTTGGGTTGATTTAATGGCTGTGTGAGGGGAAGGTCGGGAGCGTGGATAAAGAAGTGAAGAAAGTTTAGGAAACCAAACGAAAGATGAGTAAAAATCCCTGTAAGTCCATAGGCTCCACACGATTGATCAACCCATAACCCGTAATGTTTTCTCCCACTGGCTCTCTTTAGGATGCCACTGATGAAAAGCTCTGTCTACAGTCCCTACCATGCTGGCTCCCAAGAGGCTGCAGATGGCAAAGGTTGGTACATGGTCAGTTCCTCCAAGCACAGCCCTTTCCAGTTCTCCCCTGTGAGGTATGATGGGCAAGCGCAGCATGTGTTTAGACTGTGCAACGGGGTTTTGTTTGTTTTTAAAAATATTTTATTTATTATTTTTATTTTATGTGTATGCGTGTATTGCTTGTATGTAGGTAAGTGCAATGCCCGCAGAGGACAAAAGAGACTGTCAGATCCCCTAGGACTGGGGTTACGGACACTTGTTAGCTGCCATGTGGGTGCTGGGATTTGAACCTGGGTCTTCTGCAAGAACAGTTGGTGTTCTTAATCACTGAGCCATCTCTCCAGCCTCTGCAACAGGGGTTTTTGATAACATGTTCATGATTACTATGATAGAGCTCATGAACATATCAATCATTCCACATAACTGTGTATGTGTGTATGTATGAGTCTGTGTGAATGTATGTGTGTGTTTGTGTGCATGCATATACATGTATATGTTTCTGTGTGTGTGCATATGTGGGTCTGTATGTTTGTATATATGCATGCATGTATATATGTGTTTGTATGTATATGGGCGTTTGTGTGTATATGTTTCTGCTTATGTATGTGTGTGCTTCTGTGTGTATGTGTCTATGTGTGGGTATGTTTATGTGTCTGTGTGTGCATGTGTATATTTGTATGTATTTGTATGTGCTTCTGTGTGTATATGTCTATACATGTGACTGTGTGTAAATGCATATGTATGTGGAGAACACTTGAGGTCTACTTTCTTAACCAATTTTTAAAAATATTTTATGGCTGGGTGTGGTGGCAAACACCTGTAGTCTCAGCACTTGGGAAGCAGAGGCAGGTGAATCTCTGTGAGTTCAAGGCCAGCCTGGTCTGCATAGTGAGTTCCAGGCCAGGTGGGGGCTACAGGGAGACCCTGTTTCAAAAAGACCAAAATATATATGATGTATTATTTTTATTTCATGTGTATGAGTATATTGCCTGCATGTATGTAAGTGCACATGTGTTGTCCAATGCCCACAGAGGTCAGAAAAGGACTTCACATCCCCTGGAACTGGAGTTACAGATGGTTGTTAGCTGCCGTGTGGGTGCTGGGAATCAAACCTGGGTCCTTTGCAAGAACTGCCAGTTCTCTTAACTGCTGAGCCATCTCTCCAACTCCCTTTCTTAGCCAAATTTGAGAACACAATCTTATTATCTGTAGTCCCAATACTTGCACGAGTCTTCAGAACTTCTGATCAGGAGTTCCCACCCTTTACCTAACACTTTCCCACACACCATTGCTCCTGCTAACCACCATTTCTACTCTGTGTTTGTGTGAGTTTGATTTGTTAGATCCCACACATAAGTGAAATCATGTAGTATTTGTCTAGTGTCACCTAATATAACACCCTCTGTGTTCTTCCGTGCTGTCACACAGGGCCAGATTGCTCTTGTAAAGGCTAACACTCCATTCCCTCATGTTCTTTATCCATTCATTCATCAATATGTGGAAATGACTTTTATAATGTGGACATGCTCCAGACAAATGACTTTTACCTAACCTTGCAACCAATAGATAAATTTTATGTTTTGAGACCATCTAACCCTTCCTCAGCTTGCTTATAATGGAAAACAAGCTTGCAAGTCCTTAAGCTCCTCTTGTGACCTGTGTCTTTAATCTCATGACCCTGCCTTGCCCTAGAACCAGAACAATGTGTGATTGTGTTTTGCATCTCAAGCAAGCACTGCAAGCAGTGGATGTTCACTGGAAACCACAGATGATTTCATTTGTGCTGCAAACAATAGGTGGGGTTAAATTGGTGAATTGTGCTTATGGGTGCTGTTCTAGGTCAGTGGAGGTCAAAATGGGCAAAATTCTTCTAAGATAAGAGTTTGCTTTCCTTCCCCATTTCACGCTGGATATACTGTTTCAATAAAGTGTTGGGAAGGCCATTGTTCCCGAGCACAGTTCTGAAAGAATTCTGAAGGAACCGTTCCTCAGGGCAGTTTGGGTTCCCTCTTGGCTAAAATGGATGCTAAGAGTCAGACTGTTTTCATTCAGGTGTCACCATGTGATACCCCATACTTCCATATCAGTGGACCCTTAAAATATTTCTGTGTTTCGGCTATTAAGCAATGTTGCTATGTGCACAGGAATTCAGATAAGCCCCTCCTGATAGTGACAACTTTACTTTGGATATATACCCAGATAGTAGGATTTGCTGTATCATGTAAACCTATTTTTGATTTTTTTAAAGGAATCTTTATACTGTTTTCCATAATGTCTGTTCTGATTGCTGTGACTGAAAAAGACAACTGAGGAAGGAAGGGTTTATTTTGGCTGGAACAGTTCATTGGTACAGAGAAGTCCTGGACACAGCTGGTCACATTGCATCCATAATCAGGAAGCAGAGAGACACGAATGCTAGTGCTGGGCTTGCTGACGCCTTTCCCCCTTTATATTCAGTCAGGGCCTTCAGTTCATGTGTTGATGTCACCCACATTCCACCTCAGTTAAGCCTCTCCTGATAGGTTCTCACAGATATACTCAGAGGTGTGTCTTCTAGCTGGTTCTAAATCCATGCAACAAAATTGGCCATCACAATGACTGTATAAATTTACATTTTCACAAACAGTAAATTCTCTTTCTTAAGTGCACTCATGCTGCACAATGCCCACAGAGGACAGAGGAGAGCATCTGATCCCCTGGAACTGTAGTTATGGATGGTTGTTAGCTACCATTTGAGTGCTGGGATTCAAACCTGGGTCTTTCTGTAAGAAAAGTCAGTGCTCTTAACCACTGAGACATCTCTCCAGCCCCCAAGATTTTTTTTTTTTTTTTGGTCTTTTTGAGACAGGGTCTCCTTGTAGCCCCAGCTGTCCTGGAACTCACTATGTAGACCAGGCTGGCCTTGAACTCACAGAGATCCGCCTGCCTCTGCTGGCAGGATTAAAGGTGTGCTCCACCATGCCTGGCCCAAGATCTCTTTTTTTATCGCATGTCCACTAACATTTGTATTTTGACTTTTGGGTAAGAGTTATACTAAGAGGCGTGGTATGTTATAGTGATTTTATTTAGTCTTTCTAATGATTATTAATGATACCTTTCGGATGTGCTTTTAACCCTCTGTTTGAGTTCTATGGAAAACATTTCTTTGCTTTTTTTTTTTTTGTCTTTTTGAGACAGGGTCTCCCTGTAACCCCAGCTGACCTGGAGCTCACTATGTAGACCAGGCTGGCCTTGAACTCACAGAGATCCGCCTGCCTCTGCCTCCCGAGTGCTGGGATTAAAGGCGTGTGCCACCATGCCTGGCATCTTTGCCTCTTTTTAATACAATCATTTTATTTTATTGTTTTGCTCCTGCATTGTATAAGTTCTTTATGTGTTCTGGATATCAACTCATCTGAGACAGTGCTCATTTTTTTTCTCCTATTATGCAGTGTGAGTTTCCATTTTGTTGATTGCTTTCTTTGCTGTGCAGGTACTTTTTAGTTTGATGGAGTCCTAGTTGCCTATTTTAGCTTTGATTGCCTGTATTGGTATCATAAAAAATTATGTGATGGGGGCTAGAGAGATGCTTCCATGGTTAAGAGCACTGTCTGCTCTTGCAGAGGACCAGGTTCGATTCTTAGCACCCACATGGCAGTTAATAACTGTGACTGCAGTGCCAGGGGAATTCGATGCCCTCTTCTGACCTCATCGGACATTGCATGACATGGGTGCACGTACATACATGTAGGCAAAACACTTATACACATAAAACAAAAACAATAAATAAAATATTATTCAAAAGACTAATGTTGAGACCTTTTCAGTTTTTCTCATAGTTTTATGGTTTTTGTCTTGTATTTGTTGTTAACTTACTTTGAGTCGATGGTGTAAGATAATGTTTAATTTGTTTTGTCTGTATACTGATTCAGTTTTCCAAATATTAATTTTTGAAGAGACTGTCCTTTCTTTACCATGTATTCTTTTTTAAATTTTATTAATTTGTTTGTATTTAATGTACATGAGTGTTTTCTCTGCATGTATGTAAGTGCATCCATGTCATGCAATGCCCATGGAAGCTAGAAGAAGGTGCATGATCCTTTGGAACTGGAGTTAATGGACAGTTGTTAGCTTCTATGTAGGTGCTGGGAACCGAACCAGGGTCTCTTAAGGATTGAGCCATCTCTCCAGCCCCTCTGTTACATATTCTTGAGGGCTATTGTGGTTTGAGTGAGAAGGGTTCTCCACAGGCTCATATGTTTGAACACTGGAACACCAGTTGGTGGTGCCAAAGGTTGTGGATCCTTTAGGAAGTGGAGCCTTACTAGAGGACTTGAGTCACTTAGGGCAGCCTTTAAAGTTTCATAGCCGTCCCACACTTCTGTCTGCACTCTGTTTCCTGACTGATGTGGCACTGTGGCCTCCTGCCATGTCTTGGCCTCCAGGATGGACAGTTTCCCTCCTTAAACCAGAGTTAAAAATAAACCCTTCCTTCCTGAGTTCAATCTTGTCAGGTACTTGGTCACAGCAATGAGGAAAATAACTACTAGAGTGGCTTTTGTTGAATATGAGTTAACAATATGTGCGTGGGTTTACTTCTGACCTCTCTATTCTGTTCTTTGGGCCTGTGTACCTGTTTTCATGCCAGTACTATACTGTTTGGACCATTACAGTTTTGTAATAGAATTTGAAGTCAGGATAAATCTCCTATCTACTTTAAAAATTCTCTTTGTGCCCGGTGTGTGTGTGTGTGTATGTGTGCATGTTGAGTATATGTGTGTGCGAGTGTGTGTGCAATGAACAGGGACAATCTTGGGTGTTATTCTTCAGGCACTGTCCACCTTGTATTTTGAGACAGGATATCTTACTGATATGGAACTCACCTAGTAGACTAGGTTGACTGGCCAGAAAGTCCCAGGGATCCACCTGCCTCCAACTCTCCAGTGCTGGGATTACAAACACACACTATCCACACCTAGATATTATTACATGGGTTCTTAAAATCAAGTTCAGTCATTTCAAGGCAAGCACTTTACCAGC